TTCTAAGTGTTGGGAAAAATGAGCTCTCTACTCTCTCGGCATTTAGTGAAGGAAAAGGAGTAAAATGTACAAATTCCCAAGTCCTCACTTAAAACCGAAGGCATAATGGAGGCATAAGGTCAAGGCTCATGACAATTGGCAACCATGCACTCTATTTGTCTCATCCTCACGTGAATGGCCAACAAAAGAACAAGAAGGCTCGGTCCACCACCAACACATGGACAATGCACGGTCTCTTAGGACGAAAGGGACAAAAATGTGCTACAACCAACACACACATGCACAACAAAACAAACATGAGGGGCACGGATAATCACAAGATCTTGGACACTCCGCCCACTAGTAGTTGCACGACATTCATGGACGACACATGCACGGTCTCTCGAACACACGCACGAACACGTGCACGGCATTATGCGCAAGAAAATGGACCGAGTACACTAACATAGACTCACGGCAATAGCACCCAACGCACGGCAAAAATGCATGACTCGGAATAGAATTCGAATACTTTAGCTAATTTCGTGATTAAGTTAAATTAATCACTTAATTATGTTTAATTATCCAATTAAACATAATGCTTAATTACCAAAATTATTTCGAACGTAAATGGTACGTCGAAAATATTTTCCGGTAATTTCTACTGGAATAACTGAAAATAATTAATTCCGAAAAAAAAATATCGGAACTAAAATATTATTATACTGATAAAAAGTCGGGATGTTACAATCCTCCCTCCTTACAAAATTTCCGTCCTCGGAAATTCTGAACATAACTGAAAATATATACATGAAAATACACTAAAACTGAAAATCTGGAAAACGAGCGCGAATATCGGACTCCTCCTCCCAAGTAGCTCCGTGGCGATCCCACTGAATACGCACGAGGGGAATATCTCACTTTCGGAGCCGACGAACCTGACAGTCCAGAACAGCTACCGGTCGCTCCTCGTACGAAAGATCTGACTGAATCTGAATATCTGAATGGGGAATAACATGATCGGGGTCGCACACGTACTTACGCAACATCGATGCGTGAAATACATTATGAATACCTGATAACTCGGGAGGTAGAGCTAAACGATACGCGACCTCGCCTACTCGTTCGAGAACCTCGAACGGACCGATGAATCGAGGGTGCAACTTCCCTCTCTTTCCAAATCGCACAACTCCGCGAATCGGACGAACTCTGAGAAAGGCTGGCTCGCCAACCTCGAACTGAATGTCTCGCCGATGATGATCGGCGGAAGATTTCTGAAGACTCTTAGCTGTCCTGAGTCTCTGCCGGATCAACTCGACCTGATCTGCTGTCTCTTCGATCAACTGGGGACCGTGTACTCGTCGCTCTCAAACGTCGTCCCAATAGAGAGGGGAACGACACTTGCGACCGTAAAGTGACTCGTAAGGAGCCATCTGAATAGACGAATGATAGCAGTTGTTATACGCAAACTCTGCGTACGGCAACAACGACTCCCACTTAGCACCCCTGTCGACAACCAAGGCGCGAAGCATATCCTCAAGCGTCTGAATAGTCCTCTCTGACTGACCATCTGTCTCTGGATGGTAGGCTGAACTGAACTCAAGCTTCGTGCCCATCGCCTCATGCAAGCTGTGCCAGAATCGGCTGACGAATCTGGGATCTCTGTCTGATACTATCGTGACGGGCACTCCATGGAGTCGGATGATTCCACGGGTATATATCTCAGCCAACTTCTCCAAAGACATCCTCATCGAAACGGGTAAGAAAAGCGCGACCTTAGTCAATCTGTCGACCACGACCCAGATAGCGTCGTGATGCTCAGACGACCTCGGTAGTCCCGTAACGAAATCCATCGTGACCTCCTCCCACTTCCACCTCAGAATCGGCAGTGGCTGCAGGAGGCCAATCGGACTCTTATGTTCGGCCTTGACTTGCTGACAGGTTAAACATCTCCTGACAAACTCGGCGACGTCCTTCTTCATGCCTCGCCACCAGAATGACCCCTTCAGGTCGTGATACATCTTCGTGCTCCCGGGATGGGCCAAATAGGGTGCGGTATGAGCCTCTGATAAAATCTCCTTCCACAACACCTCTACCTTCGGGACCACGATCCTGCCTCTGAACTCTAGGGCACTATCGGCACCTAGCTGAAAACCCTCGACGCCTCCAGCTCGAACCTTGGCCTCCATGACGCGAACGAACTCGTCAGAACCCTGTTCTCACCAGATTCTCTCTCTCAGCGTCGGCTGAAGCTGCATAGCACCGACACTAGCACTGGCACTCCCCGAAACTGCCATGGGAAGCGCATCGATCGCCTGAAGCTGCATCCGGGCAAACCCCTGAATCAGCGGACTCTGCTGAGTAATGACGTACGTCAAATCACCCTTCACCTGACGGCTTAGGGCATCTGCAATGACGTTCGCCTTTCCCGGATGGTACTGAATAGAGC